GGTTTCCCAGAAACCATAACCAGTGATAGGGATCCGGTGTTCATCAATCATTTTTGGCAGGATTTCATGGCTTTTCAAGGAGTTCAGATTCAGTTGTCCACCAATTACCATCCTCAAACTGATGGGCAAACTGAAGTGGTTAACAAGTGCTTAGGCACTTACCTTAGGTGCATGTTTTCTGATACCCCTCACAATTGGTCTAAATGGCTCCCATTAGTGGAATGGTGGTATAGTACCACTTACCATATGGCTACTAAGGCTACTCCATATGGGATCACGTTTGGCCAACCTGCCCCAATCAATTTACCTTATTTACCTAGAGAGTCTAATATCAAACTTGTGGAAAAGAGTTTAGCTAAGAGGGAGGAAATGTTGAAATTGATTAGATTTCATTTGAAGAGAGCTCAAGAAAGAATGAAATAGATGGCTGATAAGAATAGAGCAAATAGCTAGACAATTCCAGATTGGTGATTTTGTATATGTTAAACTACATCCTTATAAGAAAGTTTTAGTAGCATTCAAGAAGAATGCAAAACTCAGTCCTAAGTATTTTGGTCCTTACAACGTGATTGATCGTGTGGGTCAAGTAGCTTACAAGTTGGATATACCTTCTACCAGTAAAGTTCATCCTGTGTTTCATGTTTCTCAACTTAAGAAGCATGTGGGAGAAGTTGTGAGTACTACTGCTCTATCTTATCAACAAGAAGATGCGTTTGCTGAAAAGGAACCTGAGTACATACTTGACAAGAAGAAATATCCCTTGTTCCATCCTTGAGGACAAGGATGATGTTAAGGAGGGGCCATTGTTATGAAATAAATGTGTAGGTGAAGGACACATGTTAATTGCTAGCAATGAGTAACCGACTGTTAGTTAGTTAGAACCTCTCTTTTTGTGGAGGGTTTTTAAGAGCAATTAGAAACAAATAGTTATAAATAGCTAAGGGATGGTTTAGGCTGGGACATGATTCATTCAGCCTAAGACCGAAATTCTTGTAATTCTTCTCTCAAGTCAATAAACATTCTCGAAGCTCTTCTTATACATGAGGTTCCTGTATCTCTATTCTGTTCTTCAAATTTAAGATTCCTAGAATTAGAAAAATTGACAACATATATCTCTATCTATAGAAACTAAAAGTCACAAAACCTAAAAGTCTCACCATTAGGAATGATTTTAGTGAAAAGCAAAAACCTCTTCAAGTTTATTATATAAAGAAAAAAAGGTCATATTGTAAATGTTAGCTGACTGGGTCAAAAGTGTTAGTTAAATTTGTTACTAATTACTATGTTGTAAATTCTTTGAATAAGACCTCTATTGTTTAGTTGAGGGACTTTTTGTAAAATTTGTATATCTAGAAGTTTCCGGTGTGTAAAGGAGAATGCTCCTTTAGGGTGTATACTTGTATATCTTGGTTCTTGTAAGAATTTTGTTCATAATCAATACATAAGTCATTCAATTTTTCAACCTTATTGTGTGGGTGTCCTGGTCTTGGTTAGGATCTTGTTCTTCTTTTCCTTTTTCAAGCAGAGATTCCTAATAAATTGGTCCAACTTGTTGGATTTTATTACGGGGACTCCCAAAATCAAGAGGATTTGACATGGTGCTAGTTGTTGTGGATAGGTTACGCAAATATAGGCATTTTATTTTGATTAAACACCTATATTTTGCTAGATCTATAGTTGAGGTTTTTGTTAGAGAAATTATACAACTGCATGGAGCACCCATTTCCATTGTTAGTGATAGAGATCCTACTTTCATTAGTCATTTATGGAACAAAATTTTCAAATTGTAGGGTACAACCTAAAAAACGAGTGCAACCTATCGTCCTGAATCAAATGGTCAAACAAAAGTCCTAAATAGAACCTTGGAGACCTATCATCATGTTTCAATTCAGAACAACCAAAGTGTTGGGAAAACTTTATTCCATGGACAGAATATTGGTATAATACCAGTTTCAAAGTGTTGTACATTGCACAACCTTTGAGGTTGTTTATGGGAGGCCTCTACCTTCTTAGGTCAAATTTGTGCCAGGAGAAACCTTGGTAGAAGTCGTGATTCAATGGACACAGATAAAACTTTGAAGCAATCAAAATTTCATTTACAGAGGGCTCAAAACCACATGGTTCAATATGCAAATTAGGGGTGGGCAAATTAAATTGCACTAAACTGAACTATTAAAAACTGTATTAAACTGAAAAATAGTTCAATTAAATTGAACTAAACTGAAAATTAGATCACTAAACCTGAACTGAACTGTTTTTTATTCTATTAAACTGTATTGCACTAAACTAAAATAGTTTACAAATTGTATCAAGAATCCATGGTTGGTGAGTGAGGAAGGAGTAGTGAATCAAGAACCCGTGCCGTGGCTGGTGAGTGAAGAGCCTTGCAAAATGCGAGTTGCGATTTCTGATTTAGAAACCCTGGGCAAGTGGGCATTTACAAATTGAAATGTATGATTTTGTTTTTTATTTTTAGTTAATTACAGTGAACCGAACTGCAACTTAATAAGTTCAGTTTTTTAAAACTGAACTAGAAAATAGTTTAATTCAGTTTTATCTTAAATAGTTTTAATTTTTTAGTTTAATATAATTCAGTTAATTAATAGTTTAGTTCAATTTAGTTAATTTTGCCCAGCCCCTAATGCAAATGTACATGGGAAAATATCTCATGTACAGCCAGCGGACTGGGAGGACTTGATGATTAGACTTAGTAGGCAAACATCTATGCTTGATTATAAATTTTTTCTTTGTTGTTCATCACTCTAAAATTTAGATGTATTATTTTTATTATATAATTATTTTTAATTATTCATTAAAAGGTTAAATAACTCTTTTAGGTGGTATGTATAACTATTAGTAATCCAATACTAGAATGTGACACCTCTAAATAATTTTATAAGTCTTTAAAATAAATATTATTTATATATCTTAAAATCATTATTAGGGACAGAAGATATTGATTTTAGATTTTATAAGATGAAAAGTAAAGAAAAATATTTTACTGAAACTAAACCCAAAATTTATTTATCTATAAGAACAAAAATTTTTATAGAATGACTAAAAATAATGTTTACAAATTTTAAGAGAGTAAAAAATAAAGAAATTTTTTTACAAAGACAAAATCAAAATTCATTTATTTTAAAAAAACTAAAAACATATTTATGTTTTAATTTTTTATTTAATGTAATATATGTTGTTTACAATGTATTCATATTCTTTTTTTAATGTATTTTTTTTCTTTCCCATATTTTTATAACTTAACAAAGAAAAAAAAATCTCTTGAATTTGACATTGTTTTTAAAATTTCAAATTTACATTGGCTAGCAGACTTATCTCTTTCATGTGCAGGTTTCATGGGTTGGACACGAGTCAAAATTTTGGATGGTTTATTTTGTAAACCGAATATATTTGGTTCATTAAAAATGTAGGATTTGCGTGTTAGACTTTAGACAAAATGAACAACTAATAAATCTAAGCAAAGTCAGACATTTGAATTCTGTCTTGTGTATGCAGCCGTGTTAAATTTTGGGGCCAACTATCCCACCAAGAACGAACTAAAAAAAAAATGAACAACTAATATACTCATTATTGTTAAAATCAGATTGGACCGCCCTGTGTAAAAAAATGGTTTGAACTGCGTCTACATTTTAAAAAACATTTTTTAAAACTGAATTTAAAATATTTTTAATAAAATTATAAATT